CTGTTTCATCAAGATAACGCCCGTGTTCACACGTCAGTACAGTCAATGGCTGAAATTCACAACTGTGGCTTTGAACTGTTACCGCATCCGCCGTATTCACCTGATCTGGCACCATCAGACTTCTTTCTGTTCCCTAACCTAAAAAAGCACTTGGGAGGTCAAAGATTTTCGACAAACGACGAGGTCAAAGCAGCTGTAGACGCATATTTTGACTCTAAGGAAGAATCATTTTTTTTCAACGGTCTAAATGCTTGGAAGGGGAGGTGGCAAAAGTGTATTGAACTTGATGGTGATTATGTAGAAAACTAAAAATATAACTGATTTAGTATGTGTTTATTTTTTTGGTTAGGCCGAGTACTTTTCAATCCACCTCGTACATGAGGCGAAAACTGAATCCGAACATACATACATACATAGCATGTGCACACGGACATCGTTATAAAAACCATACTATTCGACTCAAAACACCTTCAAACGTGGAGATATGTTGAAATTCCCAATTTGCAAAATCGGACCCATTACAATAACTTCCCACTGGGAACTTCAGCGTAATGCTGTTGTTTTTTGTATCGTGAGTTTAGAGAACCGGAGATCCTTTTTTAAAGGTAACGAGGCATTGAATTTTAGCTCTAAGGACTGACAACGTAAAATAGATACGGTCCTTAGCATCCACTTACCATCAGGTGGAATGTGTGCTCGTTTGTCATTATTATTAAAAAAAAATACAATTATCTATAATATAACTTTCTATTTTTATTTTTATTGTTATGATATTGTGATTTCAAATAAATAGATTTTCTTTATTTGTCTCTTCTTATATTGTTAACCATCTATCTCAGAGATTATCTAACTTATTTCTTTTACCGCTCACTTTGAAAATCAATTATTTTTCAGCGCCTCCATTTTTTATATGCTCCTGAAACATATTTTAAAATATATGGTATCTAAATGAAATTACATATTAACCAACCACGCCAACACCCCCCATTTTTTTGAGCCCCTTAACGCCCCTCTCTAGGTTTTCAACGACCACAAGAGGTTGTTATTGCCCACTTTGAGAAAGACTGATCTATCTAGTCAAGTACTTTATCTATTACTCACTTATAAATAATTTAAGCGTTACTCGCTTTTAAATAATGATTTAATAATTGAATATTGGAATATCTCTTAGATTAATAAACTTCGATGGCGTTTAACCAATCACCATGAAGTTGAAACATATTTTATAGGCTACATGTTTATATATCCTTTCCACTTTTTGTATTTACTTACTAGATGGCGCTGAAGCATAACAACTTGTATACGGTTTCACCGATCCAAGAAAATTTGTACTGGACCTCAGTCGATTAGAACATTAAAACCTGGTTAGTCTGGTTTTACTATCACTAGTCTGAACTACAAAGCAAGTTTTTGTATGAAAACTACAAAAAAAATGATTTACCTGCCATAGCCATGACGATAAAAGGCCGAGGATTCAACAACGGTTAACAATGACCCTGAAAAAGTACATAACGATGGCCATGATTATCAGGTACGGTTTCAAACATCAACATCAGCAGGTAAATGGCCATTGCTGGGTATTAGGTACTCTTCAACAACAAAAATTTTCTTCGTCACTCTTTCCTCAGTCATTATTTCTATATGTTTAAATCACCAAATCATTACACAACATCTCCTTTAAAGCACGCATTTCTCATATCACACAATTCCTCACCCTATCATTCAAAGTCATCCCTTACATACTTCTTAATGACCGCATCGCTCTAAAGCACTATTTATGTTTTTCTGCTACACCTGACTTTTACTACTTTAAATTAAGAGCGCATATTCAAATATGTCCAAGTCGAAATCTACGCGATCGCTTTGGAACGGCGTAATATTGACGCACGCTACAATGTTATCTCTGTGTGCGTGTCAGGGCGAGCGTGAGGCTATAATAGTTGCCTAAGACGTTACGAATCACTTTGATCGTTGACTATATACCGTCTTTGATACTATTGGAACTAAAATAATAAAAAAATAATTTCCATATAATGGCTACTATATAGTGTATAGAAATCGGAGGCTAATATGTGGAAATTGTTTTGTATTCTTTTAGTAAATTGAAGTCGGCTTTACATTTTCACCCCATTGAGTATATTATAATATGTATATGTTCTAATTGAAAAATATGTATTGTATAAAATATATATATATCATTTGATAAACTTTTATTCTGTTTCATAATGTAAACATAATTCATCAAACTAACAATTTCATCAGTGTCGGCGGGGATTAGTGTTGCCAGGTCTAGCAATTAAAATTTAGGGACGGAAGGTAAAAATAATCGGGGATTTGGTTTTCATATCCGGACAACTAGAATGACTACAAAATATAGGTTTCTTTGTAGCCTTTTGTGTTTTATTGAGAGCCGTGGTAGCTCAGATGGTCAACGCTAACTGTAAATATGCGAAAATGAAGAACATGCTGTAAAAATGCGAGTAATGCGAGAAATTGTGACTGTAACTTTACTTTTGTGCTTTATAATTATTATTCGAGTCTGATCTCATGAACGAATAACTTTTCATCCAAACATCGTAAAAACTGATTTTTTTTCATTTTAGGCAAATTAAAACATTTTTGAACTACTTGTTTTTTTTTGCAGTCCCTGAATTTTTCAAATCACTCATTTTAATATAATTCTGTTTAAAACTTTTGTGGTTTTTTTTTCGACTGGTGAGACAATGTCGTATTTAAAATATTTTTATGTGGTAGTAGCTAACAGATATAATCTTTTTTGCTTTCAAAATTATGGATTAAAGTATAGAATAATAAATAATAATATAATAAATAGTTAGTGAAAATCGGGACATTTGGCGTCCCGATCAATGATGAATCGGGACGTGTCACTAGACCTTTGAAACAAATCGGGACGTCCCGCGCAAATCGGGACACCTGGCAACACTAGCGGGGATCGAGCCCGGATTGTTCGCGTTTACGGCGAGCACTACGCCATTGAGCTACTCAACTCAAGCACGGCTCATATGTTTTATATCTGGGGGCACGGTAGTGCCCCCGCCACTGTAACGAGACTTGGTTATTTTACAAGTTATGTTTTTGATGGCATGTCTTTGTTTAATCATAACGTTATCTCCACACTAGAAATTTTTCCTAAGTTCATACATCGTTGGGGCAGTTTAAATACATTAATTTCACAAGGACAAACATCCAGACCTGGAACAATTATTTGTAGGTAATACAAATTTTTGTTCCATGTGGGATTCGAACCCGCGGCGCTCAGCGCTACAAATCATTACCAAGTCACTCCGCCACGGAGCCAAAGGTGAAAGCCAACAATTTTGTATTTTTATTTGATCCGAATTGCTTACGTCCAATTACTCATTTCTAAAAAAAATATGTATGAAATGAAAATTTGCCACCATTACATCATTTAATATTTAAATATTACAATCATAAACATATTTCAAAATTACTCACTACCAAAAATATCGCTTATAAAAGTGAATCGTTTAAAATGCTCGATGGTGCTATAGGTATCTAGTTATAGTATGGTGTAGTGTAACCCTATCGGTGTATCAACGCGATCGCGCGGTGTCGGTGAGAAAAAGTGATACGTCCTGTCGTTGGGATTACCCGGAGCGTACTGAATCGAACGGCGTCCAGTGTTGCCAACAGCGCTGGCCCTAATGTCGCCGTTTCTCATGCTTCAAGTAGCCTAATATCGCCGAATTTCAGTTGTAGTAATCTAAAGTAGTCCAAACACCAACATATCAATATGAATAAAATAAAATAAAGTTTTTATCAATTTATTTATAATACGTTCATAACACACTGATAAATAGGCATAAGCCATTTTTGAAACACGTTAATGAAATTGAAGTTAACATTTTAAAAACTACATAAACAAATAAACAAATTATAAAAATTAAAAAAAATAAACAAATTAATAACAATTCCTATCTTCTGTCCATAGTTCAGCAAATCTCATAAGTAAAATTTTAAAGGCATCCCCTTCAAACTTTGAGATTGCTGGCCTGGAAGAAGCTAGAAACGCTTTCTTAATTGCATGCCCTAGTCAAAATTTTCAATTTCCTCTAAATTCACAGAGGAGCTGGGACGACATAAACTGCAAATTGACTTATGACAATCTTTTGAGCTTTAATACAGGTTCGGCGCGTGCTAGGCTTTTGGCCGTGGGTACGCATGAGGCCGGCTACTGGCTTCACGCGCATCCTTCGTCGAATACAGGAACATTTCTTGAGCCTGACACGCTCCGAATCGCAACCTGTCTACGGCTTGGGGTTTCGGTCTGCGCTCCTCATAAATGTCCGTGTGGCAGTGACGTCGACAAGCTAGGACATCACGGGCTATCATGCCAAAAAAGTGCAGGTCACTTCTCGAGACATGCAGCACTTAACGATATCATACGCCGGTCTCTTGCCACCGTCAACGTGCCAAGTCTACTTGAGCCGTCTGGTATTGCAAGAGACGATGACAAGAGACCGCACGGTATGAGTTTGATTCCATGGAGGATGGGCCGGGTGCTGGTATGGGATGCAACCTGTTCAGACACGCTGGCCCCTTCCCATCTACGTGGAACCAACAACAGAGCTGGTGCGGCTTGTGAAGCTGCAAAAAAGGCTAAAGTTTGCAAATACAGGGGTCTAGGCTCCGAATATATTTTTGTCCCTTTCGGTGTCGAGACCTTTGGTCCGTGGGGTCCTAGCGCTATAAGCCTTTTTAAGGAAATAGCAAGAAGGTTAATCGACGTCACAGGAGACCGAAGAGCTGGCAGTTACCTCGGACAAAGAATTAGTCTAGCTATTCAACGGGGGAAACGCTGCCAGTATCTTCAGAAGCTTGCCTAAAGGACCTCTTTTTTTAATAATTTAATTTAGTTATTATAATATATATTTTTAAGGTTTTTAGTATTAGAATTAGAATTTAGTTTAGCTTGCAATTTATCTATAAATATACATAACAATAAACAAAAATTAGGATTATTCTGATTCGTCCTCTGCTAGCAATAATAAGGCATCACCAAGATTTTCGCCGTCTTCAGTAGTAGTTGATGTGCTAGTACTGGCGCAAGATCCACCGGAGACATATATTTTTCTGCCAGCGTGCAAACTCTCCATGTGATTGCTTGGTTGAAAGTTGTTACAACACAAACCTCTTACATTCATATGGGTACGAATCCTAAGAATTGCGATCAGCATGGGAGTCATGCGATTCCTTAATTTTGTTTTGATCTGATTTGTCCCCATTACGCTGAAAATTCTTTCAACGACGGCATTACTCAAAGGTAATGAAAGGCATCGTATCGAAAACTCTGCTAGTTCTTTAAACATCAGGCTCCCACCAGCATTCTTCATTTTTAGCACTTGTATCCAAAAATTTACAATGTCATTTGGAGAAGCAGCTGTTCCGATTATTTTCTCAATGCGCATAGTGCTTAATACGCGCCACTGGTTCATAACAGCTTCTCGGTGAATATTGGGACCACCTAACTGCCAGGGAAAATCTTTAATGTTGGGTTTGCCGGTTGAGAAGCATACGCGGCTTGGTGCAAAAAGTTAAATTTTTTCCACAACCGACACATTAAGCGGTAACATGACAACTAATTCTTTTACTAAGCGTACAAGAAAAGCGTTCTGCTTTTCTTGTATATCGTTGCTTCACTTCTTTGGCTTTGTCGGCAGAAACAGTCTTTTTTGCAAGTAAATCATTGAACTTTTCTCCAAAGTCGATTGAGTCCAGTGGACGCAGTGAATTTTCAAATGGAGCTCCGGCTTTTTCTAAAGCTCGCCTAACAGCTGCAATATCTGCTTCATGGAGCATTGATACAGAGGCACTTTCAGACAGACTTTGATTTCTCAGAAATATTGGTTTAAAAACACGTCTTGCAATGGAAAGTAAAAGAATCCGAAGATCGCTATATATTTTTGTGATATTTGCATCACTTGCTTGAAATACATATAATATTCACATTTGTTACTTCTTTTAATATCGGAGACAAAACAACAAATAAAATAAATTTGTATCATCATTGGCAGCAAGCTCCCTTGCTGTATAACATCTTTCTGATGATTTCACTACATTAAAGTGAGTTTTTAGCTCAAGCCACTGATTGATGTTTGTTTTAACATCTGAATGAAACGCCAGCCATTTAGTTACGGATAGCTGAGTTAGTTTCAAGGGTTTTTTACCATCATTAATAGTTTCAAATAGGGTCTGATATATTTTCATTCGCAGTGGACTGTGGGCAAACCAATTTCTGGTTTCCCTAAGAAAATATTCCAGACAAGACGGTAATTCCGTGCACGCTTTGGAGGCACATAAACTAAGGGAGTGACACACACATTTCAATAGCTGCAAATGGGGTATATATGCTCGTAAGAGAGTAAAAAGGGAGTTATGTTTGCCACAAAGGTTACTTGCTCCAGCAGTTCCTATTGCAATTAGATTTTGAAGATTCAAACCCATTTTAGACATAAAACTCTTAAATGATGTATATAGGCCGCTAGCTGTTGCTACAAATACTTCTTGAAAGCCTAAAAAATCAACAACTATTTTTTTCTAGTTTTGAATTATAGTATCGGATGCAATATGCCACGTACTTTTATGTTGTTACGTCAGTGGATTCATCCAGTATAATAGAGTAGCTCTGGTTACCAACTTCTTCTAAAAGTTCCTTGAGCATGGCTGGTTCTAGAACATTTTTTTATAATGGCCGAACACTTTGATCTATGTAATTGAATGTTTTCAAGAGGACTCCCTGTCCCACACGTTTTTAACACATCTGTCAGATGATCAATGCTGCGTATGGAGCTGTGAGCAGCGACATAGGCAGATATTTGTATGTGTATTATTTTTTCTTTTGATGAACTGTTACTAATTGAGGAGTAGCCAAATGATGCAAGCTTGGGTTGCTTTTTTGAAAAACCTAATTCTTTGTCTTTATGTGTTTTAGTTTTCATGTTCTTTTCTAAATCCGTTTTGTGCGCACGGAGTGGTGTTATACATAATTTACAAAATGCCTCACCTTTACCACTATCTGTCAGTACAATAGGTGCTCGTCTAAGTCAATCTGTAAAAGAAATTGAACTCAATAATACACTAGGCAGTAGGTATGCATATATTATATGTACCAGATAGGTATGGTACTAGTGGTTGATAACCAGATCATATTTCTTGCTATTTGTGCAGTTTCAGTCTACCCTAACTAGACTGGGTAAATATTTAAAAAATGATTGTGAAACTAAAAACCACGACTTCTAATTTAGTCTGGAATACAGGTCTGGAAGTAGTAAGACCATGTAACAGATAATATACCTACCTACATCACACGAAACATTAATATAAAACGGTACTTTAGTTTTTACTTACTTTTAAATGCTGGCAGTTTTTCCCATTCATCACGATAATGCTTGATATATTTACCATGTTTACCCATTTTACAAAACAAGCGCAGGAGAAGTTTTACAAAGCCAAAGTGACCAAGGAATACCTCAACGAACCGGAATTTATCTGAACTATTTAGTCAGTAGAACACAGATAATTGCGGTAGTCATTATTCATAATAGAATACATGTAAACCTATTGCATTCTAAATTTGGTTACACAATAGCTAAGACAAATTCAGTGTGTTCCCCGAAAATAACCAATCGCAAACAGGTTGACCATCTCAATATCAAATTGTACCAACATTACACACACGCACGGCCGTATGCCTGTTTACATACTAGGTAGTATAAAAAAAACATCCCTAGAGTAGCCTGAAAGCGAAAGTGACCAAGCTATAACCGGAATTTATCTGAACTATTTAGTCAGTACAACACAGATAATTGCGGTAGTCATTATTCATAATAGAATACATGTAAACCTATTGCATTCTAAATTTGGTTACACAATAGCTAAGACAAATTCAGGGTGTTCCCCGAAAATATGCAATCACAAACAGGGTGACCATCTCAATATCAAATTGTACCAACATTACACACACGCACGGCCGTATGCCTGTTTACATACTAGGTAGTATAAAAAAACTTGTCCTTACAGTAGCCTAATTGGCGACCAGTCGTCTTTTAGATTTTTTCGTCGCCGATTCTCGTTCTGAGTAGCCTAAATGGCGAAAAATCGCCTACGTTGGCAACACTGACGGCGTCTGCGCATGATGTTTTATAATATTTTTAAAATAATTATATAAAATAATTGACAAAATAAAACGAGCTAAAATTTTTTTTTGGATATTTAACATTACATGTATTTTGATAAAATAATTAAAATAGATATGTTTATAAGCAAATACATGGAAAAAATTACATTGAAGTAGACAGTTTTGGTGATTTTATAATATTATTTTATAATATTAAATCGAAATATTATCGTAATTTAGGTTTTGCTATACCCTAAAAGACTATATATTCCATTATAATAACGCTTAAAAGAAAGTATTTTAGCTTATATTAATGGTTGTATTCAACCTGAAAGATAACTCTGATGCATATTTTCGTAAAACACTGTGAAGGGATTGTCTTCGCCCTAAAAAACCGTCATTAAAAACTATGATTTTGCATTGCTATGTACTAAATAAAGACTTCATCTTTCTAAAGCCCTAATTTTCAGCAAATAATCTCCTCACGTCGTTACGATATCGCCTTTGGAAAAACCATAAAACATGTAGTTTTCGACGCGAAACGCATATGCCCTCTTTGTAAATTACATACTTGCTTTTTTTTTGACACATTCTGAACTCCTAAAATGTAGCAAATTGAAAGAGCCCCATTTACTTCGTGAGTTACATTCACTCTTCGTTCTAAATATTATCATGAGATATATAATTTAAAAAATGTCCTCCAGACCGAATTTCGGCCACGGCGGCCTGCCTCAGCGGAGGCTAGCCATCGGCGCAGAACAGGATTATAGTACCCAAGTATCGCAAGCACAGGTGCACTCTCTATTCCCTCACTCTCATAATCTGATGGGACGGTAAACCAACACGACCGGAGAGAGATCAGGCGCAGGACCAACGGCTTTACGTGTTTTCCGAGGCACGGGGGTGAGACGCCAACATTTCTTGACGGAAAAACTCAATAATTAACTTTTTGGTCCTACCCGGGATTCGAACCCAGGACCTCATGATCGGCAGTCGCACTACTATAACCACTAGACCAACCAGGCAGTTAATTAAAAAATATATATACTGCAACTTACCTAAGAACACTAAACAAAAGTATTTTGCCAACATATTCAATCTGCCATTGAGTTATACAAATAAATCAATGCAATCTGCCATTACCACTTCAGTAACTAATTATTATAGAAATAAGAAAAAGAGAGATTGATCTAATTATCTAAATAAACTGATTCTGTGGAATTTACAAGGAAGACATACAGTCGCTTAACTTCATATATTCATTTTAACGAACAATGATAAATCCAATAAATCCAATAAAAGGAATGATAAACAAATCATGCATTTCAAACAAACACAATTCCGACTAGCCGTTTTTATCTAGCGAAGGCAAATCCTGCTTAACCAATCAGCGTGGTGCATTCGTTCAATATGGCTGTCAGTGGTCGCTACATCATCAAACGTCAAAGGTTAGTCGTCGGTTCTCCGATATTTTATTTATTTAACTGGGTAAAAGTCAATAACAATAGATAATTCGGTGAAAATTGTATCCCCAAGTAAAGCCCGAAAACGATCTAACACAAAAAATAAATGAAACAAAAGCTACAGGAAAAAGTAAAAAAACTGTAAAGTTATGGCAAGACTGCCACGACCCTGGGGTTGTACACAAAGACATCTAAGTATGTAGTAATAATATATATATTTAAATATCTTTGGTTACATTAAGTATACACGGTATATGCATACTTATAAAAGTCCGTTCCTAGCCCGAAATTCCTAATTTACTCATCGGATTTCGAAAAATGCAAAGAATTTGTATTCTATCAATTTATCTTAATTGCACTTGATAATGTCAGCAGCGTCAGCTTTAAAATAAATATGGCGGTCATGAATGAATAACAGATGGATAATACCGATATTTGTCAGTATTACCTAATTTAAATATATTCCTCAAATAATAATAGGTCCTTACATATGAAATTGGCGTTTTGTACGGAAGGAATATAAAGTTTTTTTTTAAATATATTTAATTAATCAAAGTATGCACCGTTGTTATCTATGCACTTTTGCTATCTCATAGGTAGGCCATTGATCCCTTTACTAAAAAAACCGTGGGGGCGAGAATCAATAAACTATTTGAAGGCGGTTTGGACTGCGGCATCGGAGTTGAATTTATTTTCTTATGAGAAGTTGTCCGAATTCCGGAAAAAATGGTAATCTGTTGGAGCAAGGTCCGGGGAGTACGGTGGATGTCGCAGACATACCAATTGTAGCTCACCTAACTTAGTGGTTATTTATTGTGCAGTGTGTGGTCTTGCGTTGTCGTAAAGCAGCAATGAC